GTGGCCTGGGTGTGTCGCTGGAGGTTGGGTANGAAAGCTCATAAACACGAACTCCCCGTCCTGACTGAGAATATATCTCTGATAATGCACTTCATAGCTTCGAAACAGAGCTATGAAACTGGTGGATCCTGCAAACAGACGNGGTGGAGTGTTGCGGCTAGGGGCTGGGCAGCAGGCTTTATGGAGGCAGTCGGTGCAGTGGGTTTGTGGATGTCGGTGGACAGGTGGAGTGTTGCAGCTAGGGGCTGGGCAGCAGGTTTGGTTCAGCGTTTTTCTATTTCGCTGGTTTTGGTTCGCTGGTACGGAGTCGGTGGATGTTTCTGGTTTTGGTTTCAGTCGGTGTGGTAGGTCTGGTGGCCTGGGTGTGTCGCTGGAGGTTGGGTAGGCTGTCACTGGGTTGCTAGGTGTGGCTGAGGGACTGGGGGCTGTTGCAGATTGTTTGAGCAGTGGAATGGTGGCTGCTGGGAAGGTGATGAAGGCTAGGGTTAAGGTTAGGGTTAGGCTTAGAGATGGAGGCTAGGGTTTTGGCTCTGATACCAACTTGAAATATGTGAAAGGGATACTCAAACTCAAAGTAGAGTCCTGTATATATAGCCAAAAATAATACAGAGTGACTTAAACATCCTTGTAGTTTAGGCAAAATATAAAAATCATAGTAAGGGTAAAAAAGAGAAAAGAAATCCTAATAAACCTAGACTATCTATACTCCAACAGGGTCCCACCATACACTTGTTTTGTCAGCACATGAAGCTGAAGAGGTTAAAGCCCTTTTTCCCAGTTCTTGTCTTATTTCCCATATTTCTTGTCTTATTCCCCATATTTCTTGTCTTATTCGTCTCCATGATGCGTCCATACCCACAATGAGAATAACGCAAGACGAGTTGAATAACTGAAGCACCTTGTATTCCTTAGCAGCAGGTTTGAACTCAAAAAAATAATTGGAACAACGTATTGGAGGAAGATCCATAATTTCATGAGTAGAGATGTTATCTGCAACCGTGTTAGAGATCCATAGACCTTCTGCCTTGAACTGCCTGATTAGCAAGCTTATCTGCAACCATGTTAACTTCTCTGTAGACATGCTTAAGCTCAACATTTAGCAACCTTAACAAGCCTCTAATCTGACTCAAATAACCTGAAAAAGGCATTATTTCCTAAATGCACCTATATTGTTATATTTTATACTCATTAATTTATTCACTAGGCCCTCAGCTTCAATTTAATTGGATACCTTGTCAAGGCAAACATGACGTGTCTGAGCAGAATTTGAGACCGTTTGACAAGTACTAGCAAGATTGTGAGAATGTTGTCTAATATACCATGTCTAGTAGCCCCGAGCAGAATAGTGTGACTGAAAAGCATAATTGCACCCTTAAAAACATGACGAGGAGTATGATGAGTAGGTATAACTTACTTGATTATCTTTGGGGAGAAGCAATTAAAACGGCTTCATACATTCTTAATAGAGTTCCTAACAAATCTGTTCCAAAAATACCTTTTGAATTATGGACCAATAAAAAATCAAGCCTTAACCATTTTCAAGTTTGGGTTTGTCCTACTGAATTCAAAATCTATAACCCTTTTGAGAAAAAGATTGATCCTAAAACTATTCATTATTTCTTCATAAGTTATCCAGAACATTCGAAAGGATACTGATTCTATTGTTCTACACGTGGTACTAAAATTGTTAAGTCCTTAACAATAAAATTTTTAGAGCTTGATGTTGCTAATATTGGTTGCTCACAACCTATTAGTAAACATGAGTAAGATAAATTTTTTTCTATTCCTTTACCTGTTGTGCAAGAGAATATTATACTTGCTCCTGTTTTTAATTTTTCTTCTCCTGTTGTTGATTCTCCTGTTCCTGCAATTGACCCTTATGTTCCTATTGAAACTCCTCAGCCTTTAGAGCCTACTACTGAAATTTCCTTGAAAATGTCTATAAGACCAAGGAGACCTGTTATTTCAGATGAATATTATGTATACCTTGGAGAAAGTGATTATGATATTAGAGATATTGTTAATCCTGTAACATACTATGATGCTATTACTTGTCTTAAGTCTGATATATAGGTAGGTGCCACGAAATATGAGATGTATTATATGACACATAATGAAGTGTGAGAACTTGTAGAACTTTCTGAGGAATATAAGTCCGTTGGCTACAATTGGGTGCTTAAAACTAAAATGGACTCCAAAGATAAGATTAAAAGATTTAAGGTTAGATTGGTAGCAAAAGGGTATAGCCAGAAGGAGCGTATAGATTTTAATGAAACTTTCTCACCTGTCTCTACTAAAGATTCTTTCAGGACTATTATGGCATTAGTCGCCCATTTTGATCTAGAATATTAGCAGATGGATGTGAAGACAACTTTTCTGAATGATGAGCTTAGTGAAGAAGTTTATATGATGCAACCTGAGCGTTTTAAGGAGAATAAGAAAGAACATTTAGTGTGCAAGTTTAAGAAGTCTATCTATTATCTCAAACAGGCTTCTCGTCAGTGGTACTTGAAATTTGATGAGATAATAAATTATCTTGATTTTGTTGAGAACAAGATGGATTAATGCATATATCTTAAGGTTAGTGAGAGCAAATTTATTTTTCTTATTCTTCATGTTGATGATATTTTGATTGCAAGTAATGATTTGAGTTTACTTCATGAGATTAAGCAATTGTTGTGCAAAAAATTTAATACGAAAGATTTTGGAGAAACATCTTTTGTGTTAGGCATTCAGATTCATCGACATAGGAGTCGTAGATTATTGAAACTTTCTCAAAGGGCATATATCGATCGTGTGCTTGAAATATTTAATATGCATAATTGTAAGTTTGAGGATGTACCTGTTGTGAAATGTGATAAATTATATTTAAGTCAATGCCCAAAAATGATCTTGAGGAGGAGTTTATGAAGAATATACCTTATGCGAGTGATGTTGGCAGTTTAATGTATGCACAGATTTGTACCAGGCCTAACATTACTTTTGTAGTTAATGTTCTTAGTAGATATCTTCCTAACCAGGATTAGATCATTGGGTGATAGTTAAAAAAGTTATGAGATATTTGCAAAGAACAAAAAATTACATGTTTATTTATAAGAGAGTTGATAGTCTTGAGGTGATTGGTTACTTAGATTTAAATTTTGTTGAGTGTCAAGATGATTTAAAATCCACTTCAAGATATATTTTAACGTTAGTTGGAGGAACAATATCATGGAAGAGTATTAAATAAACTCTCTCAACTTCTTCCACTATACAAGCTGAATTTGTAGCTTGTTATGGAGTTGCAACACAAGTTATATGGTTAACAAATTTTATTTTAGGACTTATAATTGTTGATTCCTTCTCTAGACCACTAACAATTTATTGTGATAATAGTGCAGTTGTGTTTTTTTCAAAGAACAATAAACATTCTAGTGGGTCTAAACATATGAAAATTAAATATCATTTTGTTAGGGATATTGTGAAGAAATGTGACATTGTGATCAAAAATATTGATGCAGAATCAATGCTTATTGATCCTTTAACCAACGGATAGAGACTTGTAACTTTTAAGAAACATATTCACAACAATAACATTTTGGGGTCTTTTGATGTACTTGGTTAGTAGAAGTTTATTTACGTGTTAAGAACTTTAGTATTGATTTAATTTCATATGTGATATTTGATACTCATTATGGTTGAAATACATCTATTTGATGAAAAATAAATTTTTGATGATTATCCTTATTGTTAGTATGATATTCTTGCTATGTTATATATGTACACATTTATGACATGTTATTTTATACAAAATCTTAAGACTTGATATATGTTTTAAGTACGACTGTTTTGTCAATTGAGTATGTCTCTAATTATACCATTTTAGAAAATCTTGTAATTTTAAGTTTGGAGACATACTAGTTTATTGTTGAATCTAATGGATTTCTTTAGTTTATTGTTGAAACATGTTGTTAAAAAGAAATTATTTGGAGGTCTGACAATGAAAATAACATATTTATCAGATCATATATTGAGATGTTATTTTCTTGTTACACTGCCACATTTTGATCTATGTCAATAGGATTATTATTTTTTGTAATTATGGAATGGTCATATATCAATAAAGGATGTAAAGGCCGTCCTAGTTCGAAAATAGTAGTTTTATTGGACTGGGTTGTATTTGAGATGATGTCTCAGGACCATATTATTTTTATTGTGACTGTATTGAGTTTTGTTTTATTAGCTCGAGAGTCATTTTTCAAAAAAAATAAAAATAAAATATATATATATATATAATTTTATTTCAATTTTAAATGACTACAATTAATGTTGTCAAAGTGGAAAAAAGTTAGAATTTTTCCTATAATAGACATCCATTGATTGATAGTTAATTTTTAGTTGGTGAAAAATGGGTTGAATTTATAGTTTAATGAGATGAATATAATATTAAGTGATCTATTTTGATGAGTTTATGTTCATCTTTTAATTGGAGTAGTAGAGGCGGTTAAGTTTAGGTCTTAATCTAATTGTAGCCCATAATGGGAGAGTCCATTAGATTTCATTATAAATAGTAAGCTAGGTCCCCTATGCACTTCATAACCCTAATTTGACTTGTCCCATTGAGAGCTGTCTATTACTTTGAAGAAAGAGAGGAAGACCTTGCCTTTTCACGAAAGAAATCCAGAGATCGAGTATCATGATTTATACATATATGTTCTAAATCGTGTATATGATCTAACTCTTGAATTTAGGAGTTCTAAATTTCATATATGAATCATTAAAATATCTTATAGATAAAACAACTAAAGAGATTGAGGTTGAGACTAGGAGAGAAAGAGATTCAGAATCTAGAAATTGAATTGGGTTTGGCGAAGCAATTGATAAATTTGGGGTCATAATCGAAAAAAGGACTTTAGATCCAAGATTGGAAGGTTTGAGATTAAAAGAAGATAGAAAGCTTAAGGAGATTGATTGTGATTTTGAAAACTAAACAAAGATAGCAAACGCAAAAGAAGAAAGTGATGGAAAGGAAGAAAATTAGGAAAATTGGTGGCGTTGGCGGAGTTTCAGATGTTCCTCATGACTTAGCGGTCGAAGTCCTCAAGAAGCTTCCAGCCAAGTCTCTCATGCGATTTAAGTGTGTGTCAAAACTCTGGCGCTCAACAATCGATGACCGTCGCTTTTCGAACGATCACCGAGCTCTTTCCTGTTCTCGCACCAGCGTGCTTTTGATATATCCTAACAGAGACAGCGACAGACACATCAATTACTTACACTTGTTCAACACAGCCTTCCTGGGCCATAAAAGCGGACCAGTTCTCAATCACCACTTTACTGTGTCCCTGTTGGAGTACACTAGATTTACGGAGGTCATTAACGGCCTTTTTTGTTTGTACGGTGATGATCGCCTCTCTCTCTGCAACATCTCTACTCATGAAATTATGGATCTTCCTCCAATACGTTGTTCCAATTACTTTTTTGGGTTTGAACCTATTGCTAAGGAATACAAGGTGCTTCAGTTACTCAACTCGTCTTGCGTTATTCTCACTGTGGGTAAGGACGCATCATGGAGACGAATAAGACAAGAAATATGGGAAATAAGACAAGAAATGGGAAAAAGGGCTTTAACCTCTTCAGCTTCATGTGATGACAAAAAAAATTTTTTGCTGGGACCAATCAAATGACATGGCGTGTGTCATGTCATTTGGGTTGTTGATTTTGGGATTTGTTTGAGCTATAGAGCATTGCTCTTACAGTTTACCGGAATAAAAGTTTTCAATCTGGGGAGCTCATATATGCACAGAGTAGGGTGGTAGGATCCTACCCGACCACATAAATCTCTTTTACATTTGGATTTGTTTTTCTTTGTCCTTAAATGTTTGTAGTTACAAAAATCATGATTGTAGAGAAATGAATTGAATGTTAATGCAATCTTACTGACTTGTTTGCTTAAGTTCTTGTTCAACTACTCTAAAGTCTATATGAGTAAAACTAAGAGATATTATTTGTTAACAGTAATGTTACACTGATTAAATTTTGGGATAAAATTTGAAATCCAAATGACATAGCGGTTGACTTGAACTTCTTTATTTGATGTCATGTCATTTGGGCCCCAATAAAGACTCTAAATAATATGCCACCATGTCATTTGGGCTCCAAATTTAGTCTCATAATTTAGTCAGCATAGCATTGCTGATTGGTCAAACATGGGTCTTAATGCTTCATTTTACAATGAGAAATGCTATTGAGACTTCATCTATTGACCTAATGAATAGTTGTCATTGAATTTGGTAATGGACCCTAGTATTAATTGAGTTTTATTACTAATTTAATGGTTATAATGTATTAAGTTAACAATAAGATCAATAAATTAAGTTTAAATAATAATTTTCTTTTATAATAAAAAATAATATTTGAATTTAATTTATTAATTTTATTTGTTGGTCTAATGTAGGTATCGGCTCTCAATCAATAGTAGGGCCCTTCATAAATTCAATAATAAAGAGTGATTAAGTCTTAACAAAATGGGTCCAAAATAATAATGCTTTTGACAATATCATAATTTGTTCAAAGTTTTGATGCCTTCGGGTAAAGAGCTTGTTATTTTATAGTATGCAGATTAGGTTTGAAGATTTGCTGCCTTAAACTTCCTTGAAAACAGTTGTAAAAATATTCATAGTAGTAATAAAAACATTTAGAAATGTGATTAATTACCCATAAAAATAATAATTTTTTTCTGTATAAAATAATTGTAACAATAAAAATAACAAATTTATTTGATTATAAAATAAACCACCAAAAGTATAAAAGTATTCACAAAAATAACAAATTTTAGATACAGCACCAACTTTGGGTACCATAGGCAAGTCTTAACATTCGGTTCTTGCTTGCCATGATTAATAGACTAAGCAGACCAGAGGTTCACGTCGAGTTGGCGGCAATGACAGCTAACAAATCTCATTGGGTCCCAATTGGATGAGCACTGCCAAAATTGAGCATAAACAGCCGTTTAATACTACCAAAACTAAAAAAGTTTGATTTAATTTATTAATTTAATGATATTATTTTATTGTAATATCTAAATTAACATATAATTTTAATATTCGATGGAGTTCACGGTCAATCTAATAATTATAGTAAATTAAATCAACAAATTAAATAAGTAAATAAGTTCAAATAACATTCCTCTAGCCAGTGTTACGATTCTTGATTGATTTGTATACTTATAACGCAGTTTTCACCCTTTTACTTTTAATGCCTAATAAGAAATGGGTTTTTTTTTTTTTTTGNAGGATCCTACCCGACCACATAAATCTCTTTTACATTTGGATTTGTTTTTCTTTGTCCTTAAATGTTTGTAGTTACAAAAATCATGATTGTAGAGAAATGAATTGAATGTTAATGCAATCTTACTGACTTGTTTGCTTAAGTTCTTGTTCAACTACTCTAAAGTCTATATGAGTAAAACTAAGAGATATTATTTGTTAACAGTAATGTTACACTGATTAAATTTTGGGATAAAATTTGAAATCCAAATGACATAGCGGTTGACTTGAACTTCTTTATTTGATGTCATGTCATTTGGGCCCCAATAAAGACTCTAAATAATATGCCACCATGTCATTTGGGCTCCAAATTTAGTCTCATAATTTAGTCAGCATAGCATTGCTGATTGGTCAAACATGGGTCTTAATGCTTCATTTTACAATGAGAAATGCTATTGAGACTTCATCTATTGACCTAATGAATAGTTGTCATTGAATTTGGTAATGGACCCTAGTATTAATTGAGTTTTATTACTAATTTAATGGTTATAATGTATTAAGTTAACAATAAGATCAATAAATTAAGTTTAAATAATAATTTTCTTTTATAATAAAAAATAATATTTGAATTTAATTTATTAATTTTATTTGTTGGTCTAATGTAGGTATCGGCTCTCAATCAATAGTAGGGCCCTTCATAAATTCAATAATAAAGAGTGATTAAGTCTTAACAAAATGGGTCCAAAATAATAATGCTTTTGACAATATCATAATTTGTTCAAAGTTTTGATGCCTTCGGGTAAAGAGCTTGTTATTTTATAGTATGCAGATTAGGTTTGAAGATTTGCTGCCTTAAACTTCCTTGAAAACAGTTGTAAAAATATTCATAGTAGTAATAAAAACATTTAGAAATGTGATTAATTACCCATAAAAATAATAATTTTTTTCTGTATAAAATAATTGTAACAATAAAAATAACAAATTTATTTGATTATAAAATAAACCACCAAAAGTATAAAAGTATTCACAAAAATAACAAATTTTAGATACAGCACCAACTTTGGGTACCATAGGCAAGTCTTAACATTCGGTTCTTGCTTGCCATGATTAATAGACTAAGCAGACCAGAGGTTCACGTCGAGTTGGCGGCAATGACAGCTAACAAATCTCATTGGGTCCCAATTGGATGAGCACTGCCAAAATTGAGCATAAACAGCCGTTTAATACTACCAAAACTAAAAAAGTTTGATTTAATTTATTAATTTAATGATATTATTTTATTGTAATATCTAAATTAACATATAATTTTAATATTCGATGGAGTTCACGGTCAATCTAATAATTATAGTAAATTAAATCAACAAATTAAATAAGTAAATAAGTTCAAATAACATTCCTCTAGCCAGTGTTACGATTCTTGATTGATTTGTATACTTATAACGCAGTTTTCACCCTTTTACTTTTAATGCCTAATAAGAAATGGGTTTTTTTTTTTTTTTGAACAACTGATAAGAAATGATTTAATGTCTGCATTTCTTTCCTTTCCTTTTTTAATATTCCTTTCCTTTGGTGGCCTTGCTAACTTCTCACAATTAGGCCTCACAGCTCATGTGATCTGCACCTTGTCAGAATGCTTCTTTTAATAACGCCTTCATGTATTTATATTATTCATTTTTTCGAGAATTTTACAACTTTTTCCACTCAATTGAAAGAGCTAGTGATCAAGTACAATTACAAAAGGTTACATCATCGTTGATGGATATAATCCGGACATAATCTGAACCTCGGAGGTCGTTGTACAACAAAAAAGAATAACCAAGATATGTCAGCCATGAGCTGCATGTCACCAGTTTGGAAGAATTCCTCAGTTGGCATCACGTTCCTGACAGAACACATGTGCTTTAGCACAGCTGACCTGCATCAGTGATGGGAGCTCTTGCATGGCATTAGCTTTTTACGCACTCAATCACGAATGATTACTCTTTAAATTAAAAACACACTCCACCCACACTTTAAAACTCTCATAAATGAGGGCTTGAGGTAGGCAACAAAATCCTAAGAAGAATTTCTTTCTCTCTGATTACACAAACACTTTGTTTTCAATAAAAACCATCATAACTAACTTTGTTATTGGAGGTGGTTCGGCTGGGATCACACCGATCCCCTACTTTCAGTTTTCTTTGACAAGACGAAAAGCTTGATAGTTGCTGTGCTCCGATAACAAAACTCCAAACTCTGTACAGTCTTGGCCAGTCTTCAGACATTCTGATCTAATTTACTGATCCTTCCATTAGTTCGCGACATCTGTGAGAAATGTTGTTTTCCAATCCTTTTAACACGCTGTTTTCCAACCTTTTCACCAAACTAAACCATGGCCTCTCCACCAGGCCAGAGTAAGAATGTCCCAAGTACCAAAAACGCCGCAGCCACTAACCCTTCAGAAAACCAACCTGATGACTAAGCTGCTGTTGAACATATAGAGGGTGAAGATATTGCTTTGAGTCAACAAGTGAGAGAAATGGTTGAAGCCCTCAAGGTGTTCTTCCAGCAATAGCGGCAAGCACCCGCTCCAACACTTCTTATTCTGCCAAACCACCAAAACCTCCCAACCTCGGTAGAACGAGGATGCCCAACAGGACCCAAACAACAACAGGTGAGCAAAAAAAGTGCGGGAGCAAGAAGAGGTAACGAACAATTCTCTGGATTGGGGAGACTAGATGAGGGATTTTCAAGCTCAGTCAGGAGACTTGAAGTATGCTATTGATAATAAAGTTGTGCCAGCCTCCCGAAGAGAAGAAACCCCCTTAACTCCTGCCATGGTGAATTGCCAATTGCCCCATGGATTCCAAATGCCCCAGATGGAATGTTTTGAAGGAGGCAAAAACCCAGTCGATCACCTTCAAAAGTTCAAAGACTTGATGACGCTGCATGCCTTTCCAGACGAGGTAATGTGCCAAGCATTCCCAACCACATTAACAGGGAACGCTCGCATATGAATTAGTAAGCTACAACCTGGTTCCATTTCCACTTTCTCTCAATTAATTCAGTCCTTTGTGTCACACTTTGTGGAAGGAAAAATACATAGGAAACCATCCACCAATCTATTAAACGTCAAACAATAGAAAGATAAATCTTTCAGAAGCTATGTCACTTGATTTATGAACGAGACCCTGCAAGTGGAGGACCTTGATGAGTGAGTCTCTCTCACTACCTTTTTTGGGGTTGTTAGTACCCCTGCCTTTCTTTACTCTTTAGCAAAGACACCATCAAAAACCATGGCTGAAGACACTATCAGTGCTCGACAAGAGTCTTTTTTTGTTAACAAACCTGAGAAAAGGAGAGTCAAGACACCTAAAACAACTGCTCATCTAGACCACAAGAAGAAGAATAGGAGGATAAACCCCCAACTACCCGCTTCGAGAAGTATACCCCTCTTAACCCCCTATTAGAATATGTACTCCTTCAGGTGGCGATGTCCAGATCCTTAAATTGCGGGGAAAAATAAGTTCAACCCCTAAAAAATGATCACATGACAAATATTTCCATTTTCATCGAGATCATGGCCACAATACTAAAGAGTGCAGAGATCTAAAAGAGCAAATTGAGTCTTTAACATGAAGAGGAAGATTGAGTGCAGAGATCTGTAGGCGAAGAAAGACAGCCAAAAGTCAGGGACTGGGTTCACCAAGACACCATGGACGAGATCAAAGTCCTCCTCAACTCTGAAGAATCACGTCTGAAGAGCAAGCACGTCCTTTGAGGTCTACTGGATCCAGAAGGACAACTGAACCCCAAAATGCCCAAGGACTGAAGGAGTAATTTCATTTTTTGACCAGGATCTTGTGGGAATCCTAATAGCCTATGATGATCCCCTGGTTGTATCATTGACCATTTCTAATTTCAAGGTTAGAAGGGTCCTAGTTGACAATGGAAGCTTAGCCATCGTCTTATACCTGGATGCATTTAAATAGCTCGGTCTTGGAGGAGAAAAAGTAATAGCCAATTCCCCTCTCATTGGTTTCTCGGGGGCAAGAGATTTTCCTCTAGGTTATGTTCTTCTCCCAATCACTGGTAGAGAACCTCGCTGGCAATCCACTATCATGGTCAATTTGCTAATCATGGACTCAGCTTCGTCTTATAATGTTATTATGGGATAGCCATCCATCAATTCATCTGTGTCATCCCGTCAACCTACCATCTGATGCTATGCTTGCCATTCCGGGGGGTATAGGTCAGATCAAGGGTGACCAACTGGTAGCTAGAGAGTTTTATGCAACATCGATGAAAGAAAAAACCTCTAAGGAAGCCTTTCAAATTAGAATTTCAATTCAGGGGAAGATGATAAAAGGGGATCTCCTATAGAGGATCTGGAAGAAGTGGCCCTAGACCTATCAAAACCTGAATAAATAGTCAAATTAGGCACTCTACTCACTCTAGAGCTCAGAGAACGTCTCTTGAAGTGTTTGATTGCTACCTGGGATATATTTTCCTGGGAGCACTCAAATATGACAGGCATAGACGCTAGAAAAAATATAGCTTTGCCCCCATAAAGAAGCTAGGCGATCAATGAGGAGGTGTCCAAACTCCTCAAAACTGACTAGGTTAAAGAATCTAAGTACCTCGAATGGCTAGCTAATGTTGTTTTGGTGAAAAATACATGTGATAAATGGAGGCTCTACGTTGACTTCATTGATTTAAACAAAACATGCCCCAA